TACTTGCGCATTAGTTTCTGTTATGGATCAGTATCAACAGTCCTGCCAGTAACGTTACTATATTATCAATGCTACGTTAGTTATAGCCTGATATATGATAGCTAACTTCACAATGTTGTGATGTGACGTTAGCTAACATTCTGGAGCTAACGCCGGTCACTCACCAAGATAGCTGCCCAGTTCTCCACTGGTTCTCCACACACCACAGCTCAATTTCTCTCCGATGGCCGTTATTTCTTCTAATCCTTGGCTGCTCCTGGTCTCTTGGACGCCTAGCAGGCTCATAATTATAAGGTTGTGGTACGTCATATGCATTCGAATATTCAAGTTCAACTTCTTCTGTGTCTTCTGTGTCGAAACTAGCATTGGGATCCATGTTTATTAATACGTTACACCGGGAGGTCACGTGCCGAGGCTTTTTTATGCGGAAGTGAACATTTCTTACAAAAACGACGCCAGATGTCACTGTAGTGTATATTTCTGTATATTTTTTTGAAAATCTAGTGTATTCATCATTTTCCTACACATTTATTTACAGGTGTCTTTAACCTGGAAGTTGTTCTTTAACCATACCTAATATTGTTGGGTGTGTCTCAGGACCCTAAATATAATTTCATGATGATAAGGATTGTTTTCTACTTCCTGCTGCTGGATACAAATGTAGTTTGTTAGGGTGTTACCCTTCACAACAACGCATATCAATCCTTTTTGAGCTTTGTAACAAAAAGTCGTATATCTTTCTTTTTTTTCCCGAGCGACTAACCTGATCCTGCCGATGATGATGAGATGAGAGTTGCAGTGGCAGGGTCGGGTCGTATCACGCTGAGGCCGGCGGGTGAATCATTGGCCCAGCAGGTGAATTATTCAGGTGATGAGATGTAGACCTTCAGCTCTGAGACCGGGCCAAGGCTAACATTCATTTAGACCTGTCAGCTTCTATCCAGCTGTGCAGCACTCTCACAAGCTGCCCTGATGCACGCTGCCTTTTTCTTGCCTGGGGTTTGAGCTTATTAAATAGTTATTTCTCGCTTTTTCACCCTCTGATCCTCCCTCTTACCACCCCGCGCTTTTCTCAAGAACTTGATTGTAGAAACTGCCCGCCTCTCCCCTGTGATTTTCACTGTAAATTGAGCTTGGGCTGCAACCTAATGGATGATCAACACCCATAAGGGAATAAGAGTATCCTACTAAACACATTCCCTGTTTTCCCCTCTCAGGCTATATCCATTACCCTGGTTGTAAAGCTTAAAATAAAAAACCTATAGTACAGTAGATAGTGTTGCAGGATGTCAGTCAATCACACCATTACAATGCTTTCTACTTGCCAAGGTAATTTTGACTCCACGTTTGACCCTTTGTACCTCATAGTCATTAAGTTCTTTTGGCTTCAATTTCTAATTTCAAGCTGAATATTTTTGGCTTGATGCCTTTTTTAAAAATATCAATCTCACAGTAACTTAAGCAAAGGCTGAGCAGGAGATTTGAATATTTGTTGTGGTATCTCTGAGTTTGTTTTACTTCTGGCTACAAAAATATTAACTGAAAAGGAGGCAGCCTCTAGTGTTTAACTTCTCTTTGGTGGAAAGAGAGGCACGAGCAGGTGCACTAATCTGTTTGGCTCTATGTTCCACACCATCTGGTTCACTGCAGCAGAAGGTCACAAGTTTAGTAAATTCAATATATATCATTACGCTCTGAATGCAGGTGCAGCAGGCGGCCAAATTCACCTAATTAAATCAAATACTCCGTTTGAAAGACCTGTGCAGCAAAACGTAATAGTGTGGCAGTATGTTTGTGATTACTGCTGAGAACTCAAAATACACGAGTTAATAAGACTACCAGTTACTGTGAGCCGCTGTATTTCAAATATTAAGAGGTGAGGTTAAATGTTGTGTCTAACTGGGAAATGTGTGTTTTAAGGTCTTAAAAACACAGCTGCAGAGCATCCAAATGGACATAGTGGGAATTATCTGGGCAGTACAAACCATGGTCGCTTTTCAGGCATTTTTGACAAAGTAAGTTGAATGTTAGCCGTGGAAAATATCCATTTATATACGGCTGGCAAGTATCCAATAAGTAGAATAAAACTTGATCCAAAGTTCAAAAGTTAGTTCAACTGCAGGTAACCATGGCTACAGCTCTCTGGGTTTAACACATTTTTTTGCAGTTTAGAATCTTTTTCCTCAGTAAGTTTGCTTTACAATTTAGAGAACTTAGCAGATATAGTTTGAACAGCCAGGCACTGCAGCACAGTCTGTTAAAGTTACAGCATTCGTTAATATTACTAATGTTAACAGGATTTAGTCAAACAGGAATTGCCACACAGCATCTCTAAGGTTTTGATCTTCTGTGTTTAATACAATTTGAAGTTGAATATGTTTAGGGTGGGACTGATGTTTGTATAAAACAAACAATGTGAAGGCATCCCATCTGGGAGCAGGGGATCACTGTTGTTCTGACATTTTATAGCCCAGAGGTATTCAAACTGTGACATGTGCCAGGGGGGCACAGAGGGAGGGAAGTGAGGCAAAGATACTGAGTGTTGTGTAGGGACATGTGGAAAAACAACAGGAAGTTATCCTATGTTGTCTAGCCTGCTCTCTTGTCCCACAGCAGCAGCAGATACACAGATCATGGAGGCAATCAAGCTACTCCCTACCCTCAGTGTCTCAATGCTACAATTAACATATCAACTATTTTAGTCAAATCTCAGCACGCAGACATGATGAATTACATGTTCAACTTCAGTGTTACAACACACTCTCCTGAAATCACCTGGGAATCATTATATTTGAGGTTTTCTCCATTCAGAGTAATCCTGTGTTTATTGTCATTGCTACAGGGCAAATAGGAACTGCTAATTTGGCATACCGTTAATGCTGCCAACCTCTTAGCAAATACAGACCAGAAAAAAGGGGCGGAAGTTGTGTCAAACGGCCAT